AGACCTGATCCGTAGGATTCAAGGCTGCATAGTAGGGCGGCAGCGAGGGATTGCACGCAATTACTGTGGAGGTAGGATGAGAGTTGTAGGAACAAATAGCGCCAATGCTGAAGACTACTCACAGGGAAACATATTATCTTCAGTGGGAAAGAGATTGTTCGTTTCAGTTGTCTTGCACAGGAACTTGGTGAGGGCCTTCTCGATGTCCCGCTTCTGGCAGGCGGCCTTCTCCCGGATCGCCTCGTACTCCGTCACCGGCTGCTTGTGCGTCGGCGTGCGTATGTAGGCATGCGGATCTGGCATGGGCGGAAAGTAACTGGGCACATACGGTGGATGCGATGCCTTGGTGCCCGCCTGGAGCAGACTCAGTGTGCGCTGTTGTGTCTGTTGTGGCGGCATCTGCACTGGCGCATGCGGCTCGCGGCGAAGGTAAGTCTCCAGGCTGCCAATATTTTGACCCATGCCTATAAGGGCCATGCTCACATCGCCCACTGTTGCCATGGTGCGCCCACTGAGCTCGCAGTAGTTGTGCGACGAGTTTCCCAACTCCACAATAACTGCAAGCAACAAGATATCAATAGTATGCGAATAAACTTTTCAAATTTTTCGTACACCTACACGCCTGCAGCATTTCCGTGAGCGTCTCCAGGCACTGTGCACTACATTGGTTGGCCCCCTTATCCAGCAGGAGCTGACAAATGACCTTGACGAGCAGGCGACGGTAAACGTCTACGTTGGGTGTCGATACCGATTCGATCTTGTCCATTTCTTAAGATTATTTCACTTTAAATTTAATATTTTCAAAATGACAAACAATTTGAAATGTATTCCGTCAGCTGTTCCACAGAGGGCTGCCACTGTCACTGTCCAGTGTGGTAAAATGCGCAATGTTATTTATATGCATGTTTTGTTGATATTTTTAGTTTCAACATTGTTTTGTTGACAAGCCAGAAACAAGAAGCTCCAAAAGCTTATCAATCTTATGGATAATTGATTGTTGAATCGAATGAAATTATAGTTTTAGGACTGTGGGTTCTAAGTAGCTGAAAATATTAATAGGAATATCAAAAGCGAGGAAAATGATTTACGAGATGCGGTATAATTGGGTATATTTAAAAAACGAGACCGTACATTTCAGTATATAGCTGAGGGTCAGGCGGTATGTTTTATCGATAAGTACGCGGCCACATTCTTTTCGTGAATTCTGCTTTCTGTGGTCACTCGTGGCGAAATTTTATATTTCAATTTAACACGTTTAAACTGCAGTGTACAGTAAAGTATTAAACGACTAAAGTATATTGAGTGTGCACAAATTCATGTTTCCATTAAACATTTGCAGATGCCTGGCGTTGAAACTATAAAGTCCTCTTGGGCCGATGAGGTGGAGCTCGACTACGGCGGCTTGCCGCCGACAACGGAGAACGTTGAGAATGGCCACAAATATGTGACCGAATACAAATACAACAAGGACGACAAGAAGACGAAGGTCGTGCGCACCTACAAAATCTCCAAGCAGGTGGTGCCAAAGACCGTGGCCAAGCGCCGCACCTGGACCAAGTTTGGCGAGTCGAAGACGGACAAGCCCGGACCCAATTCGCACACCACAATGGTATCCGAGGAGATCATCATGCAGTTCCTCAACTCCAAGGAGGACGAGAAGGCCAACGATCCGCTGCTCGATCCCACCAAGAACATTGCCAAGTGTCGTATTTGCAATGGCGAGCATTGGTCCGTCAACTGCCCCTACAAAGGAACCGCCATGGACACAAATCTCATGGAGAAGAAGGCTGCGGCGGCTGCCTCCGCTGCCGTTGATGCACCCAAGTCTGGTAAATATGTGCCGCCATTCCTCAAGGACAGCCAAAAGGGCGGCCTGGGAATGCGTGGTCGTGACGACACCGCCGCCATTCGCATCTCGAATCTGTCCGAGTCGATGACGGAAGCGGATCTGGAGGAGCTGGTTAAGAAGATTGGACCACAAAGTAAAATGTACCTGGCCCGCGACAAGAACACCGGCCTATGCAAGGGTTTCGCCTACGTGCACTTCAAGCAGCGCAAGGACGCTGCGGCGGCCATCGAGATATTGAACGGACACGGCTACGACCATCTGATTCTCAGCGTGGAATGGTCAAAACCGCAGAACAATTAGTCGTGTTAGTCGTCTTGGTTAATATCAAAGCCGAGCTACATATCTGTATAGGCCCGTCTATTCGCCCCAGCGCCGCTACAGGCTCGGTTTGATCACAAAACAAATATCCGTAAGCTAAAGGTTTGCTTTGCTACAAATAAATGAGAAAATATATAGCCGCAAGGGCACCAAAAACAACAGCAGACAACATCCTGTGTGTGTTTAATTTTAACTTTGTTTAATCAAATCGAATCAAAAGTTCCCTCTGAATGGACTTCACTGTACTTCTTGTACCTGTTTCTTGGGCCAATATGGCAACGCTGGCTGTCACCGCGCGGGGCTGGGGGCTGAGCGCTGCTGCACAAAACGAAAACAAATTTTTGTATTTGGTTGTTGTTTGTTTTGCTTTTCGCCCGACTGCGATATTTACGCAAACTTGTGGCTAAAAATAGGACTAGATGCCGCAAAACATTCAAAAGTAGAAACTTCGAACAATAATAATATTTTTGAGGCGCAGGTGTGCGCTCATTTTTCAGTTGTACGTGACGAGCCCCCGGCCAAACATCAGGCAGAATACCTGCTCACAGGTATCCCTATCCCAGTCGCCATGGAACAGCCCAGCGTCAAGCGGGGACAGCGCATCCTCAAGGAGAAGCCTTTTGCGTTTGTCCTCAAGTCGCAGTATCGTCTGGAGCGCTGCGACAACTGCCTGGAGGCGTAAGTGCCACGCCACGCGATAGAAAGGCAAGAGATATTAATTGCTTATTAAACGTATCCATTATGATCCTAGGGCCAAGGTGCGAAAGTGTTCCAACTGCCGTTATGTGTCTTACTGCAACCGTTCCTGCCAGACCCAAGCCTGGGCACAGCACAAGCACGAGTGCCCATTCCTTAAGAGCATTCAGCCACGAATTGTGCCCGATGCCGCCCGCATGCTGTGTCGCCTCATTTTGCGCCTCGAGCATGGCGGCGATCTGATTCGTGGCTATTATACCGAGCACGGCTCCCGCAAGTTTCGTGACCTCATGTCCCGTGAGTAGTCTCTTGGGCCCTGTTTTGGGACTGCTAATTGCTCCTGGCTTTTCGCAGATTATCAAGAAATCAAAAATGATCCAAAGCGGCTGGAGCACTTGGACTCGCTGCATGCCGTGCTCACGGACATGATGGCCGATAGCCCGAGCACAGTGCCCAACAAAACGGAACTGATGAGCATCTATGGCCGTGTAAGTAGACAGGCACCCACCTGCGAATACTCCCGAATGGGAAACCAATCGATGACGCGCATCTGGCGCCTTGCCAGGTGATTGATCATCAACTATTCCTTTTCCTTTTGTTCTCTCTTTGTACCCGCATTTGTATTTGTGTATCTCTGGTATCTATGCGGCAGCTAATCACAAATGGTTTCAATGTGTTGGATGCCGAGATGAACTCCATTGCCACGGCCATTTATTTGGGCGTTTCGATCACCGACCACAGCTGCCAGCCGAATGCAGTGGCCACCTTTGAGGGCAACGAGCTGCACATACATGCCCTGGAGGACATGCCGAGCCTGGACTGGTCCAAGATCTTCATCAGCTACATCGATCTGCTGAACACGCCCGAACAGCGGCGGCAGGACCTCAAGGATCACTACTACTTCCTGTGCGTGTGCAGCAAGTGCACCGATCCAACGGAGACGCGTGCCATGACAGCCGCTGCCTGTCCCAATCCCAAATGCAGCGCCAGCATCAACATCGAGTGGCACAACTGCAAGCGCTGTTCGGTGGGCATCAGTCCCAAGCTGAGGAACGCCTACAATGAGATCACGGCCTTGACCAAGCACAAGCTGGAGGCCATGAAGGACGTGGCCTGTAAGTGTGGGGGCTTCTACATAATTTCAGTGATAATTCTCTGCCTGCTTGCAGATCTGGACGTGTGCAAGGTGTGCCTGGACAAGCAGGCGGGCCTCATGCATCCGCTGAATGTTTGGCATTTGAAGACATTGGATGCCGCCTTTGAGGCTGCCATCGAGGTGGGCAAGTGGCAGGATGCCCTCGACTATGGCCAGCAGCTGTTGCCGGGCTTCCAGAAGTATCATGGACCATGGAATCCCCTCCTGGGTCTGCTTCAAATGAAGCTGGGCAAGATACAGCTCTACGAGCGCCATTACAAGGAGGCCATGCATCATCTGGCGGAGGCTCAGCGCATACTGGTCGTCACACATGGCCGCGACCATCGACTGCTCGTGGAGCAGCTGTATCCGCTTATATTTCAGGCTCGCCACGAGGCCAACTAACGCACACACACACATCTTGTTGCATTGTTTTTATTAAGAATTAAAGCGTAATCTAAAGAACAATCAGCTCTAGACAATCTGCGTGATGGCCTTGGCCCGACGATCGGTGTCCTGGAAGAGAGCCCGTATCAGATATCGTATTTCATCGGCCTTATAGTTGGCCGTCAGTGGACCGGCACCGTCACACCACAGCTCGGTGATCTCCTTGAGCGAGGCATTCATCATGGTCTTCAGTTGCTGCAGCTTCATCCACGAGCGCACCTGATGCACCTCGTGGGCATCGCGGAACAGTTTCGGCGCCTTCTCCAGCACCACATCGATCAGGTCGCTCACATCGCTGGCCATTGTGGCGGAGATGTCGCGCTGGGTGAACACGCGACGCACCAGCTCGTTGGTGAACGAATGCAGCAGCTCGGCAAAGGTGCTGTTGTACACCTTATCGGGCAGGACATTCTGCCACACGTTTTTCAGCAGCTCCAGCTGGCGCAGACACTGGCGCACCAGCTTCAGCGGGCCCGTGCCCAGCGTGTGCGGACTCTCAAATTCTGCATAAAATGTACGAAATTAAATGTGCCCGACACAATCGATGGAATGGATACTCACCGAAACCATCCATGATGTCCATCAGTATGGAGGTCTGGTAGGTGACCTGCACCCGGAAGTGATTGGCCCCAGTGGCCTGCAGTGTCTTGACCAAAGCGGGAAAGCTCTCGATGCCCTTGTTGGCATGCTGCGCCACCCAATGGGTGAAGTACATGCAATTGTTGTGGAACAGCACCGACTGCTGCGGTATGCTCTCGAGCAGTTTCTTGTGCACCTTCGGCACCTCGTCAATGTACGTCTGCAGCATCATGCCGATGACACCAGCCAGGGGATCAGCCTCATCCTCGCCCACCTTCTCCGTCGGTTGTCGCATAATCCGATCCATTAGCTTCACAAAGTCCTGCCAAAGGGGAACGAAATTTGATCAGAATCGAATGTAAGATGCCTATGAATCTTTTGCTACCTGTGCACTCTTCGAGACCATGCAGCGGGGAAAGAGAAAGGGATCGCCGGTGACGTCTGTGGACAGATTGTTGGGCGCTACCAGCACCATTTCCTGCAGATCTCGTTGTATGATCTCGCGCGTCGACTCTAGGACACGACTGAAGAGACGATTGCGATAGTAGGTCTCGTACTGCTCGATAAACTGGCTGAGGCCGCGATCCACTTCGGGATTGATGAGGAACGAGTCGGCGAGGAACTGCTCAAAGTGCGCCACATCCTCGCACAGCGTGGACGTTTGGTACTCCTCCATGGTCTCGGGCACGGCTGGTATGAGGCACTCGTTGACCAGCAGCTGCATCATGCGATCTCTGACATGATCCCCAATGATGCTGAATACATGCTGCGTGCTGGACACGCTGTGGTTGATGCCGCTCAGCGTCTGGATCAGCAGCGTAAAGTGCTCCAGCACCTGCTTGTAGTTCGGTCTCAGCTGTGTGCCAGTGGCAGTCGCGTTCGCAGCGGTGGCCGTGCTCGTGCCACTCTCTTTGGTGGAGTACGAGAGGGACAGCTGGATGTAGGTGCCGGCTTCGGCATTGTCATTGCACTCGACACCCACCGGCTTTAGGATGAGCGGCTCGATGCAGTTCTCCAGCAGGAATTCGCAGAGTTTGACTGGATTGTATCGCTCCTGGAAGAGAGCCACGACAATGTCCTGCAGCTGGGCCTCCTCCTTGCTGATCAGCAGCGTCACGCACTTGGAATTGGGATAGGACTTGCAGTTGAGCTGCACCAGCCGATCGAAGCGCTCCTGCATGTTCTGCTGCAGCAGATGGGCCTGCACATGGTACTTCACCTTGATCGTCTCGTAGCATTCGAGGGCCTGGAAGACGCGCATCACATCTTGGGACGTGGCCTCGCCCTCGCCGTAGATGAGCGATCGCAGGCTGCCCACCAGATCGAGCACCACCAGGTAGTCCTTGGTGCCCTTGGCCTCCTCCACGTACTGGAACAGCTCATCGATTCTCAGAATGTGCTCGCTAACCTGCAGGCCCAGCATTAGCTCACGCAGCTCCCGACTGTTGTCGGCCAACTTCTGGCTCGAGCCACTCAGAGCGGCCAGACCCTCGATGCCCACAGTTTCGAGCAGGTCGTTGATCTCGCGGCCCAGCGAGCTGGACTCCTCCAGGAAGATGTCCGGCGATGTGTGATTGGTCATAAACTCTGAATAGTTCTCGCTTATATGCTTTCTGACGCGCTCTTGGAAGCGTTCAGTGCGCGTCTGTACTTTGGAAACGGTCGATTTGGTGTCCTCAAGGCTGGCACACCCATTGCCCTGGAACATCTCTGGCAGAATCTTCATCTGCGCACTTGCAGCCATTGTTGAAAGCTTTTCGTATAGCTCTTGTTGTTTTACAGTCAAAGGTTGCAGAAACAAAATATAAAACAACGACAAAGACAAAAAAAAAGACGAATTTGTGTGTTTGTGGCGGCGGCTGCCGAGTGTGGCCAAATGATGGTGTTTAAATACTGCGAAAAAAACAGTACCATGCATCTATCGATATTCAGGTATCGATACTCAGGTGGGCTTAAAACTCTGAAAAAAAGCGAACTTAAGTTGTTTATTTCTGCTTTTAGCATCACTCAACACAGTTGATTCTTGTACACTCTGAAAAAGCCACAAATTGTTTGCTACGTGTCCGCTCTGCCAGTATCGATGCAGTGACCTAGTGAGACCGTCTGATGAATACCAGCCCAGCTGTTGTATCGATATCCTATCCCACCATTTTGAAATTTACTGGTAGAGGCGGCAAAAATGTAAGCGTCGCATTAGCCACTATCAAAATTTGCACAATCGAAGCAGGCGTTTAGACACATAAAGTACGGCAGCCGTTTTGGTTTTGTTTCGTATTCTGTTTATTAGTTTTGTATATTTTCACATTCCGTCACTGCCGTACATTATCTATCCGGTCTAGAAGGTAAGAAGTTTCATCAAGAAGGGCAAAAGATGCAACTGCTAATTGGTCCGGTGTGATCTCTACCGCAGATGTCCAGCGACGAGAGCAGCTCGGTGACAGTGGCCTTGCGCGTGCGTCCCCTCGTGAAATCGGAGGTGGAGCGTGGCTGCCGTATTGCACTAGAGCGTTCGCCGAACGGCGCCCCTCAGGTGTCGATCAATCGCGGCGAGTGCTACACATACAACCATGTCTTCGACATAAATGACACACAGAAGGATCTGTTCGAGACGTGTGTACAGGGCAAGCTGAAGAAGCTGCTCGATGGCTACAATGTGACTATCCTGGCGTATGGCCAGACTGGCTCTGGCAAAACCTACACCATGGGCACGGCCTTCAATGGTGTCCTCGACGAGGATGTGGGCGTCATTCCGCGTGCCGTCCACGACATATTTGTTCACATTGCCGAGCTACAGGAGGAGTACAAGTTCGAGGTGACCTGCTCCTTTGTGGAGCTCTACCAGGAGCAGTTCTACGATCTCTTCTCGCCGAACAAGCGCGACAAGGCCACCGTGGACATACGCGAGATACAGAATCGCATTGTGATGCCCGGCCTCACCGAGCTGGAGGTGAATTCCGCCCGTGAGGTTACCGATCATCTAATGCGCGGCTCTGCCGGTCGGGCCGTCGCAGCCACTGCAATGAACGAGACATCGTCCCGTTCTCATGCAATTTTCACACTCACCGTGGTGTCCAGCAAGCTGGAGGGAAGGTAAGTATCCACACACAAAACACACAAGCTGAACGCTGTCTAAATGAACTTCTGAACTTCAGAAAGGTGGTGACTACTTCCAAGTTCAATCTGGTGGATCTGGCTGGCTCTGAGCGCTGCTCCAAGACACTGGCCATAGGCGATCGCTTCAAGGAGGGCGTGAACATCAACAAAGGCCTGCTGGCCCTCGGCAACGTGATCAACACATTGGGCTGTACGTTTTTCTTCTTTTCTTCTGCATTTTCTTTTCTTTTGTCACTTTTTGGGTTCCACTTTTACAGCCGGACAAACTGCCGGTTACATACCGTATCGGCAGTCCAAGCTGACGCGCCTGCTGCAGGACTCGCTGGGTGGCAATTCGATCACATTGATGATTGCCTGCGTCAGTCCCGCGGACTACAATGTGTCCGAGACGCTGAGCACCCTGCGCTACGCGGATCGGGCGCTGCAAATCAAGAACAAGCCGATGGTCAACATGGATCCCCATGCGGCCGAGATCAACATGCTCAAGGACATCATACAGAAGCTGCGCGTGGAGCTGCTGGCCGTCGGCAAGATGAGCAACTCGATTAACTGTGCCGTGGGCGCGGCCGGACTCGATCCACTGCCAAACGGCGCTGACGGCACGTTGGTGTCAGCCTCCGCCGCAGCTGCCGCTGACCAACGGCCGCTGCAGGATTTGGTCAAGACGCTGCAGGAAAAGACCCGCAAGCTGCAGAAGGAGCTGCACCAGGCATTGATCGACCTCACCGAGAAGGAGATGCGCGCCCACATAGCCGAGGCAGCCCACGATAAGCTCAAAACTTACATTGTCCAGCTGAAGAGCAAGCTGCAAGAGCAGCAGCAGCAGCAAGCAGAGGGCGCCGACACAAGGGAACAGCCATCGGACCAGATGCGAGAGATTAGCCAGCTGGTGGATCAGTTCGACGAGGAGCTGCAGCGCACCGAAGATGAGCTGCAGGTGCATGGCCACGAATCGAGATCGAGTCAGAGAATCAATGCGGATGGTGAGGGCGAAGGCGAGGGCATGGGGGATGAGGTGCACGAGATGCTCAATTCCCAGTCGGAGGATTACACGAACAAGCAGCTGGGTCTGGTCGGCGAGCTGCGCACGATCAACCGCCACCTGGATCTCAAGCAGGAGCTGCACGAGCGCATTTGCCGAAACTTCAGCAAGCTGGAGAAAGAGGACGATGAGAAGGTGAAGCAGTGCAACCAGAAGATCGACGAGCTGGAGAGCGAGCGGCGCGATCTGCTCGACCAGCTGCGCAACATCAAGAGCAAGGATCCCTCCGCCAAGCTGGCCGAAGAGCGGCGCAAGCGGCTGCAGCTGCTGGAGCAGGAAATCGCCGATCTGCGGCGTAAGTTTATCACACAGGCAAACATGCTGAAAATGCGCGAAAAGGAGCGCGAGAAGATCAACAACTTGAGCGCCGAAATACGTACGATGAAGGAGTCAAAGGTGAAGTTGATTCGCACGATGCGCGGCGAGGCTGAGAAGTTCCGCACGTGGCGATCAGTGCGTGAGAAAGAGCTGACCCAGTTGAAGAGCAAGGACCGCAAAATGCAAAGCGAAATGGTGCGCCAGCAGACGCTGCACGCCAAGCAGCGGCAGGTGCTGAAGCGCAAGTGTGAAGAGGCTCTGGCCGCCAATAAGCGCCTGAAGGACGCACTCGATCGCCAGGCTTCGGCACAGCGTCAGCGCCATGCCAAGGATCAGACAGCTGCCAAGACAGACTCCTGGGTGGATCGCGAACTGGAGATTATTCTCTCACTCATCGATGCCGAGCACAGTCTCGAGCAGCTCATGGAGGACCGGGCCACCATCAATAATCACTATAATATGGTAAAGTCTAGCGGGGATCAGAAGGAGCTGGCCAACATCGAGGAGGAGCTAGAGATGCGCAACGCCCAGATAGCCGATCTCCAACAGAAGGTCTGCCTCAGCGATTTGGACAGTCGGAGCAAGGCGCTCGCCGAGAGCGTCCAGAGCATCAGCGAATCGCGTGCCGTCAGCAAGCAGCTGCTCAAGAGCCTTGTCCAACAGCGTCGCCAGCAGGCGCACAGCCTCAACGAGCAGCGCACCGCCATGGATGAGCAGCGCTCCCATCTGCAGGAGGCCCAGCAACAGCTCGACGACCTGGCCAAGCGACTGCGCCAGGTCGAAAGCCAGCACGAGGAGCAAATGCTCGCCCAGCAGCGTGCCTACGAGGAGAAGGTGGCCGTTCTGCTGCGCACGGCGGCCACTCATCAGCCCGCCAACGAGGAGCACCAAGAAGTTATCGAGGAGCTCCTCAGCAGCCGCGAAGCTCTTCAGCAGCAGCTAGATCGCCTGAAGTCAAGAAACAAAAAGGCGGAGGCAAAGGCAAAGGCTCCACCCTTGGAGAATCTCGATTCGAGCGTTCAATTCCTCTCGGACACGGTTGAACTTGTGAGCGATGCCAGCGATGATCCCGACTGGGTGCCCGTGTTCAGCAAAGCCCGTTCCAAGGTGAGTAGAATCTTTCAGGGGGCAGAGCCATAAATAATTAATTCCTCATAGCAGAGATCATCGCAGTTGGCCAACGACAGAACCGAAAATGGCCATGCACAGGCCCAGGAGACGTCGAGCAGCGAACAGCAGCAGCAGCAGCAGGTGCTCGGCACAAGCAGCGAAGTCAATGGATCGATCACTTTGCACAACTCCACCACGGTGACGGAGGTGGTGGAGGGCGGTCGCCAGACGCAGTCGAAGAGATGCAAGTGCCGCACAAAGTGCAACACAAAACGCTGCTCCTGCTTCACCAGCAGCAACGGCTGTGCCGATCACTGCGGCTGCAAGGGCTCATGCTTGAATCCAATGAACTGCAACGCAAAGCCACCGCCGCCGCCACCACCTTCGCACCAGGCTGATGATATCCTCGTGGTCAAGGAGGAAAGAGAGCAGCAAGATGATGATGAGATGACGGGCGATAGCACCACATTTTCCTCGCCAGAGCCAGCCAAGGTGCTATCGCCTACAAAGCGATCGATCGATCAGAATGCCTTTCCACCAGCAATTGGCAGAGTCCTTTCTGAAGATGAACTCACCCCAAAGCTAGCCAGGTCTGAATAACAAGATGAACATGAGTTGCATGAGGTTTTAAAATAAAATACATTTCCATTCTTTTCTCTTTCCCTTTTTGCAGAATGTCTGGACTGGCATTCGCCACCGCACGACGTAAATTCTTTTAGGTGGTGAAGGGAGTAGCTGCCTTTGGGTCAGACCGCGATCTACGTTTCTGATTTTACATTCTCTAGAGCATAGACTTATTTTTGTTTATAGTAAGATAATTTTACAAGTAAAATGTTATGTTATCCGAGCCACCGATAGCGCCCATCACCTTGGCTGTTGTTAAAGCGAGCGCGCGAGCGAGAGAGAGAGAGAGAGAAAGCTATAGCCATGGTTTTTACCATCAATTTCATAATTCATAATAATAATAGTAATAACTCGCACATGTAAATTTCTACATTTTATTGTTTTTTTGTTGTTGTTGTATTTGGTTCTTTTCTTTTTTTCATAACAGTTTCAATGCGTGTGTGTGTGGTTTATGGTATGGGTGCGTAGTGTATCCTTTCGCTGTGAGTGTCCATTGGGGTCTTAACAGAAAGGGTCGACGTAGAGTGTGCCCAAGCTCCCTTTATCTACTTCATATATCACAGCGGTGGGCAGACTCGAAACGAGAATCATGCACATGGCATGTAATGTGTTTTTTTTTGTTTGTCACCGCTGTATCATTTACACCGACCACCATGGGTTGTGGATCGTAATGAAAGTATGCAGAATGAAGGAATAAATACGAAAAATGTATAACCGCAGGTTCCGCGGGATATTGTGAACGCTTGGATTGAATGACACATGTACATATACAAATATGTAAGTACATAATATTAACATTCAATGTTTCCCGGATATTGTGCTCTGTTGCTGCAGTTTTTTTCATTTTATCCATTTGATTTTGGTGTGAAGTCGGACATTTAACAGATATTCGCCTCAATTCTTCTTTCTTCAATATACAATACATTAATGTACACATTTTAAATAATAATAATGATAGTAATAATAATAATAATAATTGAGCTACGTAATATAGTACATATGATATTTACTATATAGTATACATATAAATATAGCGCTTTTCTTCACTACAGACTATCAAAAAAAAGAAAAAAAAACAAGATCCAAAGAGTAAAGAACGAACAGAAATTACACTTAATGGAGATTACATTTTTGTTTTGCTTGAGTGCGTTTTTGGGTGCATATCTTGCATAGATCTTGCATTTATCCATTCTCCTTGTGTCCAACATTTTTGTTCTTCTTTTAGTGGTTCTTGCGCCGCTCCTTGATTTTCTTTGTGTGCGATGTGATAGGTGGAGATGCGTTGTGAGGCGATTTGTGTGGATGAATGAGGAATGGTGTGATTGGATTTATAACGAAACAACAATCAATATACACACATACACATATCTATGTATATATCTATATAAATATGCATATGCAAAGGTGTGTGTGTGTGTGTGTGTGTGTGCGGTGTGTGTGTGAGGGAATCTTATGCCTAAAAATTACAAACAAATCAGAATTCAGATAGTGTATTGTGTGTGTGTGCATATTTATCCTGGCCATCCATTGTGCGATATCTTTGTTTCATTTGGTTTGGCCCGTCATTACTTATACCGTCTCCAGCACACGCACATCCTTCTGCACCACATAGAACTTGTGCTTCTTGCCCACCAGCCCCCAAATGACGGCCACATTCTCGATGACCACATTGACGGGTATCGTGCAAACAGCACCCAGCACACAGGCCAGAAACCGAAACAGTCCGAAGCGATACAGCGAGAAGGATTTGATCACACCAAACACATACATATATATGTTGATGGCCGCAATGAAGGCGCACACAAAGTCCACCAGATTGGGACAGGGTATCGGATAGAGGCCGGCGAAGATAATGTTCGATGTGGAGAGCGGCATGGTGACCCACGAATAAACACTGATGCCCAGCAGCAGCTTGTGCCGGAAGGGTATCATTTTGGAGTGGACCACCAGCAGGATGCCCTGGAGCCAGCGCTTGCGTTGCTGCAGGAAATCAAGTAGCGTGAACGGCGACTTCTCGTACATTTCGCCCTCAATGAAGTTGAACGTGTAGCCCTGGCTGAAGGCGCGCATCGCAAAGAAGCAATCCTCGGCCACCGAGCCATCGATGCCGTTGTCAAAGGAGACCGACCGCTCGGCACCCACCTGCCACAATATATAATAAACAATTAAATCAATTGTATTTTCACTAATGTAGAGACACACTCACCTGGGTTACCACATAGCTGCCCTTCCAGCTGAAGAGTGGCTTGTGGAAGAGCTTAAACTGCAGCCTCAGCTTGCCCATGTCATCGGACACCCGAAAGCTGTCCGCCAGCGTTGTCAGCCAATTGACAACATTCTCATTGGCATAAGTGATGAGGCCCTGGCCGAACGGATGCTTGCCATCCAGCACGAAATTAATAATGCCGCGCACCGAGTTCTCCGTGAGCAGTGTCTCCTCATCGAGATGAACGATCCAATCGTTGTCGTTCAGCACATTCACCGAATCCTCCAGGCAGTGCTGCAGGGCTCGGGACTTGAAGAGGGCCCCCGTGCGCGTTTTATACTCTTTGGGCACCACAATCTCTCGGATGCGTCGATGCTGGGCCAAGTGTACGGCCTTGTCGGTGACCACCTCGATGAGGAAGTTCTCCAGGCCGGTGTCTAGGCAGGTGTTCATGTTCCGCAGGACATTCGTTTTGACCAGATCGGGAAAATCGCCGCGCGTCACCACACGGATGCAGATGAAGGGCGCCAGCAGGGGGCTGCCCTTGAGGACAACCTTCTCGGGGAAGGCATTGTAGAAGACCAGGCCGCAGAAATTGAACAGCACCTGGGGCAGCGTGAGGAGGGTGAGAAAGCGAAGTAAGTACAGCAATACGGTGGCCACATCCCCATACGCGGACCATGGGTCGACAAGCGTGAATGAGTTCTCGTCGATCTTGATGCCGCCCGAGAATACTTCGAAGGTTATTATCACAGTGAAGAGCAGTGTGCAGTGCAGCAGATGTTTTGTTGTGGAGTTCATTCTGAATGCTTCGTAGGGCTCCCGACTCTACGTATTGTAGATTGTAAATGGGTTGTGTATCCTCTCGTTGGTTACGCTCGCTTGCGGCCTACTCGCTCCTATCGATGAACTTCTTGGAGGATGTGCAGTGGGCAGTGGGGCTCCTCCTCGTCTCTCCTTGTTGCTTGTCAATTGTGTGTTTGTTCTTTTGTTTAAGTAAGTGATTTGTGCTTCCTTCTCCTTTAAGTAGACTTGTGCTTGCGCCGGACGGGGGTGTATGCTGCTGATGCCAGAGTCTCTCTCTCTCTCTCTCTAGCTCTATCTTTATCTCTGTTTTTGTTCGTTCGTTCGTTCGTTTCGTTGGATGACGCCTGATGACTGGATGGTTGATGAATCAGAGACTATATTAGTAATTTTTGCTTTCTTTTTTGTTTTGTTTTTATTTTTATGTTTGCCTCCGAGCGGAAGTTAACCCAGCCACTGGGATCGCGTTCCGTTGGCTTGTTGTTTGCTGATAAGTTCTAGAGATGCAGGAGTTCTCTCTCTCTCTCCCTTCTGATCTCCTCTCCTCTCTCTCGTTCTTTGTCGCTCAGTACACAGTTCTCAACTAGTGGATCTAATGGATCCTCTCGTTCTCAGCGCCGATACGTGGCCAGACGACATTGCTGTAAATGGGAAAACAAACGGTAAATTAGCATCTCTTCTCATCTCGCTTACACACGATCTGTTTTTTTTCTTCTCTGTGATGCATGCCGACTGTGGGGGAACAAGTTGCCCATTACGAATTAATTGGCGCCAGTATTTGGTAACCCTAATTTTTGTAACCTCTTGCATGACCCTGAACCACATCACCAGAGCAATACAAACAAAAGGCTGTGGGTTTCCGAAGCTCCAGATACTCTTACAAAACGATTTACATATATATTCGGATGAAACTATGAGGAACACGCACAACATGAAACGTCAGATGCTGCCACAAGACGCGACGCCATTTTGGTGGCCCCACTCAAGACGCACAAGTGAATGCTTGCCAAAGAGAAACGTTCGATTATGGTAAAAATACATTTGGTGTGCCTGATGTTGCAGATTGAGGCACGTTCTCGAGCTTCGCTTATAGGGAATAGTAAAGAAAAGTAAGCAAATGGCTCAAAAGGTTTACAAATGAATACGAAATAATTGTAATACCCTTCAGTGAGAGTATAAATACCATTTTCATAATTATTACTATTATTAACCAAGCAAACAAAACAAATATTAACTTATTCATAATGTATGAACAAACTGCCCAGCCAGAACGCAGAGTTTACTCCAGTTTATACTCCAACAGATTCCACTGAGAGAACAGGCCATAATTTGAACAATTGCGAGAGTTCAAGTGTCAACCGATTTGATTATAATTGTTGAAATATTTCCATCGTGACAGCAGCATTGGAGGGCAGGTCTGTACTCTACGAGTTTTATTTGGGTTGGCAATTGTCGGCCGATAGCGTCTAATGATATCCACCAAATAGCACAATCACCCATAATTGCTTATACAAATGAGAAACATATGAAGGTGGAACATTTTACATGGTCGCAGTTAAATTTTGGGAGTGAATATTTCAATGCGTACGATTGGGAGTAGTATCACAGGGTGAAACTATGTACTTAGCTGCAGGATATTCCGGGTCGATTCTAAGTGCTTCTACCTTATGGATGGCAATATTTATTTTTTGAGCCCTTTATTTATCTGTACTTTCTCCTAAATGTGATTTTGCTTGGAGGCCACTTGATTAGAGATAGATCTGTGTATGTGTACATAAGTGTTATTTGGTTTTTAATCTATAGTTTCCTGTTTAATCTATAGATAGTATATGTGCCCCTCTCTTCCAAGAAAAGAAATAACACTCTCTTGTCGTATGGCTTTTTCACAGTGTTTTTCCACCATCCATCCATCATTCTCGTTCTACCATAAAGAAAATCCATACTCAACCAGGATAATGGCTTATGGTGGTGCGACGACTGATGGGCACAACAACAACAACAAATAATAATAATAATATTAATACAAATATTCACATATAAATCCCCAAAACTTGAATTAACTTTTGTTATGAGATTCATTTTCAGTACAGAGCCAGCTCAATGCTCCCCGAGGAGTCATTTGCACAGCCATCGGAATGAGGGGCCTTAGATTCGATTCTATTGGGAGGCATAAAGATTACATGCACTCGTTTATCGATTTATGCCGCCACCACATGGCACCAGTGGAATACTTGAATGACGGACACTTTCCAGAGGGTTCGTTTCCAACTGTGTGTGTGTGTGTGTGTGTGTGTGTGTGTGTGTGTGTGTGTGTGTGTGTGTGTATGTGTGTGAATAGCCCTAGATATTGTACA